GAGGAGAGGGGAGGGGAGGCAAAGGGAGGGGAGGTGGGAAGGGGGCATTAGAAAACACTATGAAAATGTTTATTCAGGTGCCAGGTTAGATGCGTGGAGATGTGCGGTACGTCTGCAGGGTGGCAGATAAAGAGTGGGGGCGGGGGGTACAGAATGAGGGGAGAGAGGGGGGAACCCGGGGGTAAATGTTCCTGGCTTCATTTCAGGGTGTGGATATTAACTCCGTTCATCTCACTTGGCTGACAGAAGCACTAATGCCAAAACCGGCAATTTCATCAGCATCAGCTACACAGAAGATGGGATTTCAGAGGGAGGCACCAGCAAAGGGAGAATGATGTATGTAATTTTATTCAAATAATTAAAAACAAAGTTGGCAGTCTATCTTCCTGTCAAGAAGAATAAATGTCAGACTATGGAGTTGGAAAGGGGAGTGCAAGGGGCTTCCTGCTGCTCCACATTAACTCTGGTCCAATACAAACTTTATAGTTGACTCTTCACAAAAACATCCATTTAAAAGGACCCTCCTATGCTTTTTTTGCGGTCATTCTGTGAGCAGAGCTAACACGGCTCTAGAGGACACAGGCCAGGAGTAAGGGTGGAGGAGGCCGCCTGCCGGAGCCACACTAGAGCCACGAGCTTCACAGCCACAGACACGGGGTTTGTACGACCGAGCTACTTCTCCCGAAGGAGAGGCGTGTGAGGTTTTCCAGAACTTTCCTTTCTCTCCTTATTTACCTCCTGTCCTCCCATGCCCAAAAACCGCAGCAGGGCCCGGCCTACGGCAGGAGCCAAATAAATAAACACATACGTACACATACACACACACACACACGCATACTTTTTGAATGGATTAAAAAACCTGATACCTGACCTGTGGACATGAATGCATAATATTTACCAATACATTCATTATCTTCTGCATTTGTAGGCTCACTGGGTTATAACAGATGCAATATCATAGCCAAACGTTAAAGAATCCTCTCTGAATGTCACAACGTGGCTGTTACATGTCCTAAACTATACCTTTCCAGAGTTTTTCAACAGCAACTGTTTAGAGGGGGCAAGCTCCATTTCGTGACTGACAAAGAGAAAGGATTCGCACAGCCAAGTGACAAAAAATAGAGTCCAAACACGCTCAGTGAGGGTTTTGCTTCGAAAGAATTTTAAGCCCTCTTCCTCTAGATTTCCGGTAATGTGTCAAATCGCTCTTCCGCTGCTTCTAAAATGTTGAATTTCGGACACAAAATGCTCCCCTTTCTGCAACACTTCCCGGTCCATGTGGGAACTGGGCTTCTGCGGGAACGGCACGGCACGACCATGGGAACGGCAGATTGGTCTACTTTTCGCAAGGCAGGGAGCAAAATGCTGCAAAGGTAGCCAAAATGATCAAGGGGGATGCAGTTAATGAAACATGACACGGTGCTATGCCAAGTTAGAAGTGTTGGTAAGTGGGTACTTTCAGACAGCTGAAAGGTTCCTTCTGGCATCCGAAATGGCTTTGCCAAAGCCTTAGTATTTTAGTCTAATCCCGCGGAGTGAGCCAAGGTGATGATGACAGAGACAAAACCCTTACGTTTTGAAGGAAGCGGGAATGAGGACAACACGGGAGGCGGCAAACGTTTGCTGTAAAAAGGCAAATAGCAAATATCCTTGGCCTTGTGTGCCGCCTGGTCTCTGCTGCAAATACTCAAATCTGGCTCTACGGTTCGGCACAGTGGCCATCGACAGTATGGAAACAAAGGGGCACAGCTGTGTCCCGATCAGGGGCTTTTATCTATAAAAGCAGGTGACAGTCTGGATTTGACTCACAGGCCATAGTTCGCTGACCCCTGAGATACGATGCAAATGGCTCTCCAACAGACTGAAACCTAAGGAAGGACGCAGATCTCAAGGTCAGATTGAAAATCTTAGTGCTTTTTAATTCTCTGTATTTTAACCATGTGCTTAGCAGCACTTCTGATTCCTGTGCGGATCGGATGCTGTTTGCCTTCCAACAGCATTTCCCTTAAAGGCATCGAGATGCACGTCTTTTTTTTTTTTTTTTAATTTTTTTTTTTTTTTTGAGATGCACGTCTTTTATCAAACTGTTGGCATAAGCTGAGACAACAGGGTCATTCTGAACATTCCAGGAATAAAGAATTTAATATAATAATCAGGGCTTCCGTCGGAATCCATTAGCACAGTCGGGTCAGGAGAATCACTAGGAAAGACCAGGGACGCAGACACTGACGATCTCAGCCTGGCATAGCCGTGTGGGTGCTTGTCCGAGCTCTACGGAAGTCTGCTCCCAGAGAACCTCGGAGAAACCTCGGTCTGCACCAGCAAAGCACCTGGTTGTGTCCATCTCTCCCGGCAAGGCCGCCGTGAGCCTCCCGCCTGCCCAACATCCTGCTGCAAACAGCCCTGAGCGGAACGGCTTCCGCTCCTCTGTCACCTGAAAAAAAAGCCTCCCCCCGCTCCCATCCTCGGCAACCCTCACGTGGGACGCTACGGGGAAGGGGACTGTAAGAGGGTCAGTCCCCTACTTCTCTTCAGGAACTCAGAAGACACCTCGGAAGGGTGGTAGTTGTAGCGACGTACATACACTCCACCCCTTTGTCCGGGCAGCATGCACTCCTTTCACCTGTTTTTAACTTTCAAATAAGTAAACAACATGATGCTTCTATCCTGCTTCATGCAGCCTGAATTGCCTCGCGCTTTCCCCCAAAGTGGAGCTACGAAGTAAGTATTGAGTCATACGTTCCTACGTGATAGTCAAGGAAGGCC